CGCCGAGAATTGCGCAAACTCTATAAAGTTTACAGAGCTCCGGGGTTGAGAATGATGCCATCTTTCACTTTCATCCTTTGATGTTTTCAACACATCCAATTTGACAGTCCTATGCTGCTTGATTCGAGCGTTTGGATCGAAATAGTTGCACTCCCATCGGATGTTTCCTTCATCGTTTTTTGGCATCTAGCGTTGCAACAAAGCAAACGAAGCCGAACAAAATAAACGTATATAAAGTGGTCTCCGGCACTCATGGCAGACATTTTCACCATTCCTGTCGCTGCTATTTCATGTGTTTGATCCTGTTCCTCAAATCACTTCTTGAATCCACTCACTCTTTTCGGAGACAAGGGGAGACAAGGGGGAAGGCGGACACACAATCCAACAAAGGGAAGCAAGAAGGGACACAAGGGGAGACAAGACATCGGGAAGGCGGAGACACCATCCAACACAGGCACACATGTGGGGAAACAATGAGAGAAAATAGGAGACAAGGGAGGCAAGACCTCAGGAAGGCGAACACACCGTCCATTATAGGCACACATACGTGGGGAGACAAGGGGTGACAAGGGGAGACAAGACTTCGGGAAGGCGGACACACCATCCAACACAGGCACACATATGTGGGGAGACAATGGGAGACAAGGGGAGACAAGACACGCTTCGTTTGGCTTCGTTTGCTTTGTTGCAACGCTAGATGCCAAGAAACGATGAAGGAAACATCCGATGGGGGTGCAACTATTTGGATCCAAACGCTCGAATCAAGCAGCATAGGACTGTCAAATTGGATGTGTTGAAAACATCAAAGGATGAAAGTGAAAGATGGCATCATTCTCAATCCCGGAGCTCTGTAAACTTTATAGAGTTTGCGCAATTCTCGGCGTGCGATGATTTTAGCTGGGAGACTTGGGAGAGACAAGCAGGGAGACAAGCTGGAGACAAGCTGGGAGACAAGGGCGACAAGGCCTCGGGAAGACGGACACACCATCCAACAAAGGGAAACAAGAAGGAAGACAAGCTGGGAGACAATCTGGGAGACAAGCTGGAAGACAAGCTGGAAGACAAGACCTCGGGAGACAAGGGAGACAAGACCTCAGGAAGGCGGGCATACCATCCAACAAAGGGAAACAAGAAGGAAGACAAACTGGTACACAAGCTGGGAGACAAGCTAAACAAGGACTCGGGAAGGCGGACAAACCATCCAACAAAGGGAAACAAGAAGGGAGACAATGGGAGACAAGGGGGAAGGCGACACACCATCCAACAAAGGGAAACAAGAAGGAAGACAAGCTGGGAGACAATCTGGGAGACAAGCTGGAAGACAAGCTGGGAGACAAGGCAGACAAAGACCTCGGGAAGGCGGGCACGCCATCCAACAAAGGGAAACAAGTAACAAGAAGGAAGACAAACTCTTACACAAGCTGGGAGACAAGCGAGACAAGGACTCGTGAAGGCGGACAAACCATCCAACAAAGGGAAACAAGAAGGGAGACAATGGGAGACAAGGGAGACAAGGCCTCGGGAAGGCGGACACACCATCCAACAAAGGGAAACAAGAAGGAAGACAAGCTGGGAGACAATCTGGGAGACAAGCTGGAAGACAAGCTGGAAGACAAGCTGGGAGACAAGGGAGACAAGACCTCGGGAAGGCGGGCACACCATCCAACAAAGGGAAACAAGAAGGAAGACAAACTGGTACACAAGCTGGGAGACAAGCGAGACAAGAACTCGGGAAGGCGGACAAACCATCCAACAAAGGGAAACAAGAAGGGAGACAATGGGAGACAAGGGGGAAGGCGGACACACAATCCAACAAAGGGAAACAAGAAGGGAGACAAGCTGGGAGACAAGCTGGAAAACAAGGGAGACAAGGCCTTGGGAAGGCGGACACACCATCCAACAAAGGGAAACAAGAAGGGACACAAGGGGAGACAAGACCTTTGGAAGGCGGAGACACCATCCAACACAGGCACACCTCGGGAAGGCGAACACAGCATCCAACACAGGCACACATGTGGGAGACAATGGGAGACAATGGGAGGCAATGAGAGCAATGGGGGGCATTGGCAGACAAGAACTTGCGAAGACAAGAACTTGCGAAGGCAGACACACCATCCAACACAGGCACACATATGCGGGGAGACTATGGGAGACCATGGGGGACAAGGGCAGACAAGACCTTGGGAAGGCAGACACAGCATGGGAGACAAGGGGAGACAAGGCCTCGGGAAGGCGGACACACCATCCAACACAGGCACACATGTGGGGAGACAATGGGAGACAAGGGGAGACAAGGCGAGACAAGGGGAGACAAGGGGAGACAAGACCTCGGGAAGGCGGACACACCATCCAACGCAGGCACACATGTGGGGAGACAAGTGGAGACAAGGGGAGACAAGGGGAGACAAGACCTCGGGAAGGCGAACACAGAATCCAACACAGGCACACATGTGGGGAGACTATGGGAGACCATGGAAGACAAGGGGAGACAAGACCTCGGGAAGGTGGACACACCATCCAACACAGGCATACGTGTGAGAGACAATGGGAGACAAGGCGAGACAAGGGGAGACAAGGGGAGACAAGACCTCGGGAAGGCGGACACACCATCCAACGCAGGCACACATGTGGGGAGACAAGTGGAGACAAGGGGAGACAAGGGGAGACAAGGGGAGACAAGGGGAGACAAGACCTCGGGAAGGCGAACACAGAATCCAACACAGGCACATATGTGGGGAGACAATGGGAGACAAGGGGAGACAAGGGGAGACAAGACCTCGGGAAGGCGGACACAGAATCCAACACAGGCACACGTGTGAGAGACAATGGGAGACAATGGGAGACAAGGGAGACAAGACCTCAGGAAGGCGGGCATACCATCCAACAAAGGGAAACAAGAAGGAAGACAAACTGGTACACAAGCTGGGAGACAAGCTAAACAAGGACTCGGGAAGGCGGACAAACCATCCAACAAAGGGAAACAAGAAGGGAGACAATGGGAGACAAGGGGGAAGGCGACACACCATCCAACAAAGGGAAACAAGAAGGAAGACAAGCTCGGAGACAATCTGGGAGACAAGCTGGAAGACAAGCTGGGAGACAAGACAGACAAAGACCTCGGGAAGGCGGGCACGCCATCCAACAAAGGGAAACAAGTAACAAGAAGGAAGACAAACTCTTACACAAGCTGGGAGACAAGCGAGACAAGGACTCGTGAAGGCGGACAAACCATCCAACAAAGGGAAACAAGAAGGGAGACAATGGGAGACAAGGGGGAAGGCGGACACACCATCCAACAAAGGGAAACAAGAAGGGAGACAAGCTGGGAGACAAGCTGGAAAACAAGGGAGACAAGGCCTCGGGAAGGCGGACACACCATCCAACAAAGGGAAACAAGAAGGAAGACAAGCTGGGAGACAATCTGGGAGACAAGCTGGAAGACAAGCTGGAAGACAAGCTGCGAGACAAGGGAGACAAGACCTTGGGAAGGTGGGCACACCATCCAACAAAGGGAAACAAGAAGGAAGACAAACTGGCACACAAGCTGGGAGACAAGCGAGACAAGGACCCGGGAAGGCAGACAAACCATCCAACAAAGGGAAACAAGAAGGGAGACAATGGGAGACAAGGGGGAAGGCGGACACACCATCCAACAAGGGGAAACAAGAAGGGAGACAAGCTGGGAGACAAGCTGGAAAACAAGGGAGACAAGGCCTTGGGAAGGCGGACACACCATCCAACAAAGGGAAACAAGAAGGGACACAAGGGGAGACAAGACCTTTGGAAGGCGGAGACACCATCCAACACAGGCACACCTCGGGAAGGCGAACACAGCATCCAACACAGGCACACATGTGGGAGACAATGGGAGACAATGGGAGGCAATGAGAGCAATGGGGGGCATTGGCAGACAAGAACTTGCGAAGACAAGAACTTGCGAAGGCAGACACACCATCCAACACAGGCACACATATGCGGGGAGACTATGGGAGACCATGGGGGACAAGGGCAGACAAGACCTTGGGAAGGCAGACACAGCATGGGAGACAAGGGGAGACAAGGGGAGACAAGGCCTCGGGAAGGCGGACACACCATCCAACACAGGCACACATGTGGGGAGACAATGGGAGACAAGGGGAGACAAGGCGAGACAAGGGGAGACAAGGGGAGACAAGACCTCGGGAAGGCGGACACACCATCCAACGCAGGCACACATGTGGGGAGACAAGTGGAGACACCAGACAAGACCTCGGGAAGGCGAACACAGAATCCAACAGGCACACATGTGGGGAGACTATGGGAGACCATGGGAGACAAGGGGAGACAAGACCTCGGGAAGGCGGACACACCATCCAACACAGGCACACATGTGGGGAGACAATGGGAGACAAGGGGAGACAAGGCGAGACAAGGGGAGACAAGGGGAGACAAGACCTCGGGAAGGCGGACACACCATCCAACGCAGGCACACATGTGGGGAGACAAGGGGAGACAAGGGGAGACAAGGGGAGACAAGGGGAGACAAGACCTCGGGAAGGCGAACACAGAATCCAACACAGGCACACATGTGGGGAGACAATGGGAGACAAGTGGAGACAAGGGGAGACAGGGGGAGACAAGACCCCGGGAAGGCGGACACACCATCCAACACAGGCACACATGTGGGGAGACTATGGGAGACAAGGGGAGACAAGACCTCGGGAAGGCGGACACAGAATCCAACACGCACACATGTGGGGAGACTATGGGAGACCATGGGAGACAAGGGGAGACAAGACCTCGGGAAGGCGGACACACCATCCAACACCAAGGCGGACACCTTAAGAAAGCATTAAGAACCCCTAACAGTACACTGTTTGGGGGAAAATGTTACGCAAAAGTTTCTCCAAAGCTAGAAATTGCGCCCCCTGTGGATCAAACTGCTGTCAGCACAAGCACTCTTGGCTTCCACGTGGCGTTTTGCGAAGGAAAGTCAACTGCAGCCCACTGGGCCAAGGTGCCGTAGTGCTGCCAAATCCATTCACGCTGGTCCATGTCCTGGGTGGTATCTGCAATGAATTCCTGCAGCCTTGGCAGGTCAGGGAAAATTCTCACATGATACCTGCACGGCACTGCCTGCGTTTAAGGAAAATATGCACCCCCACTTATAACATCTCCTATGACTATAATCTACTTTAGCTATATACATTATTATCATTATTCAAATTTTAAAGTTGACTTTGGCTCTTTGACCTTCCTGAATCCAGAGGAATCAGCAAGGATGAATGATCAACGCTTCCACCAAGCGACAGGTTTCCCATCATCAGGGCGCCCATGACCATGAAGATTGCAAGAAGTACCATGGACCAGCACAGCGAGGGCAGAAATGAATAACCTCATGCTTTAGGAAGGATCAGGCTAGCCGCCTGATATTTGGCAAAAACGACAGGATCTGTGGAACTTGGGAACTGGGTTTTCAATCCTACTTTTAAGTTGCGGCTGGCCTGTGCTAGTATCTTGTAATATAATATATATATAATATGTCGCAATCCTCATTTTCTGTCGTGGAGGTCCGAAGAACAGAGTAGGCCACCCCAAAAATCTTCGGAAGATGTCTTGGCCACACCGGCCAAACCAGGTTCTGGCAGCAACCTGCTCGCCCCAAACTGCCAAAAGACATGCTTGGACAAGGACCCGCAAGCCACGGAACAGTCTTAGTGTTCTCCTCAGAACATCTGGCTTTTCGATGTGGCTTTCATATGTTTCAGAGATTTTCAGAGTGGGTTCCAAGCTGGGTCAAAGCTTGACATCTTTCATACACAGAAGAAATGCCCAATCCATGCAAAAATTGATCCTTGATTGCTTGGCCAGTCTACTCTTGTCCAAATCAGTGGATCATTCCCAGCACAGCTCGTCTCCGCCATGAGGGCTCCCTGTTCTCTGCCGAGCATCACCATGCGGATGGCTCTCATCGACTTCACTGCGCGCATAAATCTCAGAAGGATCATTTGATCAGTAGCCCCACCTGCCCGTTTTCGACGCTGACGGTGCCAAATTGTGCTTCCTGACTGCTGGGCTATGTCTTTTATCCCTTGCGATTCTTGCGATAATGATAATAAGAATAACAACAATAATAACTTTATATACATACATGTAAACGGACGCTGACAGCGGTGGAATATTTTGGGGGGGTCCAATCCTCTGAGATGATGCCACACACAGCCACACTGCATGGCGATTTTCCATGCCTGAAAGAGCCATAGGCCTTAAGACCCAAACGTCCATGCAGGTAATGGTCGCCAAGAAGATGTCAAACCAGTTTCTTGGCCGCCAGCAAGGCATGCATTGTAGCAACAGGTGAAGGCACTAGTCGTGATGGAAACAAGGGACATGAATAGTAACGCTGGTTCGATCAACCAGGACAGAAAGCTAGATGATTCTGGGTGCTCAATGTACCTGTTAAATAAATCTATAGTGAGTTCCTTGTCAGTTCTGTACCTCCTCTGGTATTCCTCCGTCGAAGTGTCGCTGCGGTCTGACAGAACTTGCGCCTCTCGACAGCTATTCGACACCTCAAGGGTCCACAGCTCGCATTCGGTTCGCTGAAACTCACAGCTGGCATTGTTTACTGTTTCCTCTGAATCAACATCTGCCAAGAGGGACTCAGAATAGTGAAATCAACGCAGAATGCTTGGCAAAAATGATGGTGACATCAAGGCGGTGATCATCTTACATGAACAAAGCTCTAGCAAAAAATGCCTCATTCCAACTGACAGTTCCAACTGACAGTTCCAACTGACAGTGTCCTTACAGCACTCCCCACCATGACAAGACAAGCCAGACTTCTGTCGACACCAAGACGCGTCAATTCCAGGAAGTAGAGCACCGCAAAGACATTATCCACAATGGAGAAGAACCACGAAGGGTCTGTAACCTTAATGACTCTTGGGGTCAAAAATCAATACTCAGGAAGCCACTACCACAACTTCTTGGATATATTTGGAGTCTAAACTGTAGAATTTCACGATTTGAGGGCCATAAATGTCCATAAATGCCCACAATTCTCATGACAGATCTTTATCCACTTCAAATCACCACGCCCAGTCGCCGGAAGGGCATCGCTTCGATTCAGCTCCTGCCCATTGAAGCGGCCTTCGAATTCCAGCTCCACGGCCATGAAGATGGAATTCACCTCGGTGGATTGGTTTAATCAAAAATCTTCACCGGAAACCATAGGTGTTCCCTTGAAATTTAGGGGGTCCAATGTTTTTCTTAAACCCAATCCATGGAGATTAAATTAAAAAGAGAATTCGAAAATTGATATTGATTATCAATACATATCAAGAAATAAGAAATAGAATGTAGCCTGCATGAAAAACAAAGTTGCGCGGAGTTGAGTTGTGTTTTGTCAATTTTACACCAGAAAAAATGCTGATCTGAAATCTACAATTCCACTATTTTTTGGCAAGGTATCTTACGCCATCTGTCTGTGCTTGCATTGATACCCATCTTTCGCTGCAATCCAAAAGACAAGGACGCAAATGCCGGCCTGTGCTACGGGGAATGCAACATCCCATGAGTGACGCAAACATGGAAAAAAACGGGGTAAGCGTGAAGACAAAGATGCACAAATGGACAAAAAATGTGTTCAACCACCTAACTTCTGGTCCCGTGTGCGGTGCGTTTTGCAACACTGCTCAATCATGTTCAATCCACAAAACCACCCAAATCGTCGTAGGGCTCCAACAAGCAGGTCCAAGCGGTACAATATTGTTTGCTTGTCATCGACGCCTTAGCAGGCTAAAACTGCTAAAGCTGCACTGTGCGAACCAGTTTGCATGGCAGTAACTACAAAAAAAAAGTCTGAGTCTAGATTTTCTCCGTGGAAGATCAACCGCAAATGCACAAACAGTTTGCAATGTAATTTACAAGGATGATACCTTGCTCAAGCTATCTCGTTTATTTCGTCCCTTCGCACATGTCATCTTTCTTTGTCATGTGATTGCGCAGTGTTGATGAAGCGAATACTTCCAGCTAATTTGGACGAACTCCAAGCCCATCCGAGCATTCCACTGAAGGCTTTGGCCGCCCCGGTGTGGGTGGAACTGGTCACCACGGATTGCCTCAGAACAACGTGCCCCAAAATGAGAGGAAATCCTCTCTTTCAAGAATTGAAACTGAAACACTTATATGGATGTAGAATTCTACAGTAAGTTTACTTGGTGCCTTCAAACATGTGGGCAGCTAGGGTAAACAGCCCTTGTCAGCAGTGTATCCAGGTATTGGTGAACCGAAGATTTGGTTGGAGTTGGCTGACATCACTGGCACACCTCGTCTTTTCAGCTCAAGGCAGGAGCTTCTGGAACAGTTACAGTTACAGTATATATATATGTGTGTGTGTATATATAATATATATATATATATATTGTATGTGTGTGTGGGCACATGCCGTGACAGAATGATTTTACCTGGTGCTCTCTGCAGTAGAACAGTGGAGATAAACTGCTATCATTTTGACGTGTGAACATCTACACTAACCATCTATCAAGCAGATATCCTAGTCCCTGTGTACCATCTGCACAGGTTCAGAAGGATCAAGAGTACCCTCCAGCTGAATGCATTGGAAAGATATACTGGAAACCTGTGATATACGTACCTTGATGAGTGTGAGTCAATCCACACGATCAGCCATGGCTGACCACTGCAGTGCCATCCCGCTCTCTTCGAACCCAAGGCTCCGGTTGGCATCTCCCTCTTTGGCTGCTCCCTGGTCAAGCTGCACTTCCACCAGTTCGTAAGACTTCAATTCCTGATTTTTGCAGCATTCAAAACTCGAAGATGACTTATGATTGGAATTTTTGGTTCGTCCCTTCTAATGGTGTGCTAATCCCTAATAATTTTCATGGGTCAGTACCTTCTAATTGGATTCTTGATCATGGTGGACATGAGTGGTTTACACCTTTAGGACACCAAAGGACCCACCTATTTGCAGCCCGGCATCTGACGGCATCAAACTCGACATCTCGTTGCTGCCTACGGTCCTGACAGCTATGGTGGTCTTGTTGGAGAGGTCGCCATCTAGTTATGACTCACATAGCCATGGAAAATCCCTTATAAATGGAGGTTTTAATGGGAAAATCATATTTGTAAATAACCCATCACCAGAGTGTAATTCATATTGGCTCAAGACTTGAAACCCAAGGAATCCGGAAAAAAAAAACAAAAAATCGGTCAACTCCAGCATGATACGCTTTACCGTCTCAACATCCCTGTGGCGCCATCCGTGGCATCTGCGTGGCCCTGGTTTTTGGGTGCCCCTACTGTCGTTCTGGAAGCCTCAGGCGGAAAGTCACCCTTCCAGGAACAAAAAAGCTATGGAAAATGACCATTAATAGTGGATTTTCCCATGAAAAATGGTGATTTTCAATAGCTATGTTAAATTACCAGAGGGTATACATGGGCCTATCCCCAGATTTTGCGGATAAAGAATCAAGAATTACCGTTTTCTTTCACATAAACAAACCAAGCCACTTGGGGACATCGGGCGGTAAAGGGTCGATATCATCAGGCAATGTCGGCTGCAGCGATTGCTGTGCCACCTCCACTTTCAAGGAATGGCCTGAAAAGCATAGGAAATGATTGCAATCCCGGCAAGGTTTGTTTTAGTTGTGAAATTACTCACCTGCCAGCTTAGACCTATTTATATAGTCTTGTCTTGGTTTGCCATTTTGTTGCAATCCATTGTGTTACCCTTGAAAACAAAAAGAGTGAAACCAGTGATCTAGTCAAAAAAACGTTACCCGTTACACATTGCCGCCGGTGGGAACGCAACACAATTCAAGACAATTCAAGCGACCTCCAAGTAGATTTTTTCCAATTTCTCGGCTTTGGTCATCAGCTATCTCGCCCCTGGCCAAGCTGGAATGGTCATCAGCTATCTCGCCCCTGGCCAAGCTGGAAGTTTCAAGTGCTTGGACGCTCACCTCCCAATCAACCACACAACACTAACCCACCTAGCCAGCAAATTGGGATCCGCATTGGCCAGAGCTTGTTGGAGCAGTTCGTGTTGGCTGTCCACAAATTCATGCAATGCCAACCTGCTCGGGAAAAAAATAATGCCAAACAAGACTCGGGTGCAAACATGGCCCCACAATCCATGCTCAGAAATGAAAACCATTCCACACCTGTGGGCAGCAACCACTTCCAAAAGGTTCGACATGGCTGGTTCGAAACAAGCTAAGTAAATCCGGAGCGTTCCGTAATGCACAACACTATATGTGAAAATGTCAGCAAGCAGAGTGGTTTCCAACAGTTGGTACTGTGCTGAAATTTCCGTTGTTTCCCGACGCAATGCTCGCAGACCTATGTTCGAACACCTGCACGACTACGTATGAAGGTTCGGGAATTTGCAAAAAAAAACATGTTAAAGTCGATAAAGCAAACAAACATATGTTTAAAAAAACACCATGAGGAAATGAACGCTATTGGTTGCACAATAGGGGAAACGATGTTTAACGCCGATGTTTGTTTTCAAGATAATTGCGTGGCCACCCTGCGTTCCACACACTGTTACCCTTAAATTAGGGGTGCGGTGGCCTGCTTATGTGTTCCACAGCCCCCCCCATCTGGAACTTTACAAGTTCGGGTTCTATATATAAATTTCAAAAGTTTTAGATATATAATAGAAGCAGTTGTGCTACATGGTTTTCGAGTGTTTCATGACATTTTCGCGACCTCCGTTCACAATATGAAGCGTGCATTGACCTCATTGCAAACGTAGAAGGCACCCATCAAACGTAGAAGGAACACATCACCCATCAAACGTAGAAGGAACACATCATAGATATTGCTTGGTTTGATATGATATGAGAATATGAAGTACATGTCAATGCATTGGGATCTGTTTGGGCCTCTATCTCTGTTTAAAAGCTCTGCAAAGTCTAGAGCTACACAAGAATATAAACCGCCAAAGTGCTCTGGACATACGAAATGGTGATCAATCAATTAATTAATCTATGTATAGATGGTAGTTTTGGATGCAATATGAACAAGTTGTTTTCAGTTGTCGAAACAACAATTGAAATACAATGTTTTTCCAAGTGCAAAATCAATAAGGGTCAGAATAGTTCAGAGCGGTTCAGAACGTTTCCAAACCTTTACAAAACGGGAATGTATACATAAGTTGACAACAGGTCCAAAACGGTTCCGAACTTTTCAAAAAAAATAAAAATAATTAAAATAGTTTGGAACGGTTCCAATTTTTTTGAAAAACTATACGATGTTTTTTCGTCTCCAACCCTCATAGGAAAGAAAATATTGGGTGAGTGACTAGAAGAAGGAGAAGAACGGTGGAACTCGAAATCGGATCCATCACCTAAAGCCTTTCACTTTCAAGTTTGCCGTTACAGAGCGCAAACTCATCAAAATAATCGCAGGACTGACGCCTAATCGATAATCGTTAAATTTTTGCAAGGCCGAAGGGTCCCAAGAGCTCATATTGACGGTCGAAATCCAAAAAACCGCTACAGCCCCGAATCTTGTCCGGAAAGTGCCCTGCCGCTGGAACTATTTGTAAACCCGGGCACATTTTGCTAAGGAAAGAAAATAATCCATGGAACTATTTACCGAATTTCCGCAAGATGCAAAGCCCGGGTGCAAACTGGCGGACATGAAGGCTAGCAGGGTACCAGGACAATTGTGGTTGTTCATACCTCCTTAGGCCAAAAGTGGATCCCCGATGATCTCATCCACCGAGTTGGGGAGCTGAAGCACACTTCAAAAAGTGTGTTTGATCAAATGCAGGTTGTGGAACACTAACCAAAATCCCTGCAATGGTTTTCCAAACGCTTTTCCCATTGCAGGACGGTGCTTCTAGCTATGATACCAACCAGAAATCGAATCAATAGCCTAGTCACCACGGCTTCGGCAAGACTTAGAGATGATAGTTGTCGCAATAACAACCATCTTCTGACCTGTCCTGCGGCGCATGGCAATACGGATCGCATGGCTGTCAAGTGCTGTGTCTTCTGGTTTCCTATTTTGGTCAACGGAATGTAGTTTGCTTCCTGTTGTCATTCCCATGTCGCTTCTATCGCCACGTACGCCATGTCTACGCAGAGGAGCGAAATCAGAACATAGCAGCATGGCAAGTCAGAACATGACGTCATGACTTCTTGAAGCACAGCAAACACAAGGGTACGAAAACAAATCATAACAATCCATAACCAAACGAGGGCACTTCACCCATCACCGACATGCAGCTTGGGTGCACACCTGTCTCAACAAGGCAAACTCTCCTTACCATGGTTGGTGCTGGTTTGACGGGGGGGATCACTTCCATTGCAAATGCATGTGTGGCTTTCAGTGAAGTATGTGTTTTTTCCTCGCACCTTTTTATGTGCGCGTTCCACTCTTAGCCTCTAAACAAATTTTGTGCTGAGGCACTGCAGACTGTTTGTATATTGGCCAGTCTCCAGATGTGCACGAATGCGAAGTCCAAAGGCTAGGCTGAACCAGGAGGCCAAAGAAGAGGTCGGAGAGAACTCCAATACAATAGATCGCTGAGGAAGGGGGCGTCCCCATCCACAGCGGAGGACAGAGCATGGTCTTCGAAGAGGAGACTGCGGGCGAAGGCCGTTTGGGCCGCGTTTGTGAGCAGCCCCGACCAGCGAGCGATGTATGCTTGCGCTGTTGCTTGTCGCAGTGGTGCTGGCACGGCTCTGCTACGAGCATGGGCCAATAACCGGATGAAGGTCGCAGCTTCCCCGCTCCATCGCCCCCCCACCTCCATTGCCACCACCACGAGCTGACATCGTCGTTCTGGGTGCGTTCTTCATCTGCCAAAGCTGCCCCTGTGTATTCCCCTCGCCGTTGTCGAGGCTCGCCTTTGCTGGTGAGGGCGGAGACCAACCTGGTGTCGACGGCTAATTGGGCCCCATGGCGCGAAGGCAGGCCGTTGGCGATGACTTCGATGCTTCTTGTGTCAAAACGTTGAACTGCTGGACCGTTCAAGTATGAGAGGAGTGAGTGCGTGGTTGCAGTACCCTGGACCCCGCCTCCCTGCATACTCGAGCTGCTGCTCGTTGAAGTGCCCCCCCCCACCCCCACCGCTCCTCAAGACCCCCGATTGAGCACACGCTGCGCGATGGCCGCCAAGCAAGTCCAAAGCGCGACGGCATCGGCAGGTACGGGCTGCTAAGGGAAGTTCCAGACGAAGGCGGCGGAGCAACAAGATGCGGAAGATATGCGATGGATAGGTGAACTCAGGGCTGATAGGGATGGTTGCGAAAGCTCGACTGGAGCGCGGCCCGGATTGAGAGATCAACAGGGCTTGGCTTGCGGGGTCGAGGTCGGCGAGCAATTGGGTTCTGCAACTGGCGTGGGTGACATGGGTGGCTGTTTGCTGCCAGCCCCTCGTAGTAGGGCCATCGATGGCTGTGTCAGCGGTAGGGGGTGACAAGGCGCCATCGACTAAGTCTCGCCTGGAAGGTTCCAGCCGGCGGCCTGCAGTGTGCCTGCTGCCTCGAGCGCGGCTTGGATTGGAGGCGGGGCTGAGTGAGAGTGGTCGAAGAATCGAAACATTTGAGCTGTGAATTGTGGAGGCCCAGTATGCTGCGGGGGCGAGAACTGCGGCCGACTGAAGCCCAAGAAACCCAAGGCCACCTAGTGCAAGTGGAAGGTGTGCCCTGCCGAGCGCTGTGGCGGTGAGGGGGGGTTGACCCAACAACTGGCGTAAGCAACTGGTGACTGCCACGTCATGGTCGGCAGCAAACTCGGTGGTGAATGCTGGCGCTGTTGTGCGGAGGATGTAATTGCTACGGGGGCTGGCGCAAAACAACAGCAGGAGCCAAAAGGCTTGGAGGTCGTCTCGGGCAGGGATACGCTGGAGCAGCTGTTCATGGCTGCAGTTGATGTTGTTCAGCTGGTGCCGCACGTATGTTTCCGACACAAGGGGCGTGCTGAGGATTGTGAGTCCCTGCTGCTGGCTGGGCAGGGTTTGGTCGCTGACCCACACATCGTGGCCTAAAGGTGCCAGATTGGGAGGGGTGGTGCCTGAAGCATTCCACACGCGGGCTTTGCCACTGTTGAGTTGGATCTGCGTGTGCCTATTGAGTTTGTGGGCCATGAGGTCATAGACTTCGTGAATTCTGGTGGGCGGGTCCACGGCATGAATGTCGTCAAGGTACGCCAGCAAAAGTTCATCGAGGTGAAGCTGGTGCTGGATGGCTTGGAGGGCCGCCCGCTGGCCTAAAGAAAACAACACTGGCATCAATGGGTCTCCTTGTTCCCCGCCTTCCTCTTGGGTGATGATGTGGTTCCCCAATTTGGTGGTGCCAAATGTACTGCGAAGGCCCTGCTGCATGCTGTTGCGTGAAATCGTGTCATACGCTCCGATGCCATCCGCTGACAAGACTGTGTGCTGCGGGTTGGACTGGCTGGCGACAGAGATGGTCCGGACTACGGCTTCGGTCCCTGCTCGAGTTGACAAAGCAAACTGGTGGGGAGCACAGGCTGTGTGTATGGTTGTGGCGTATTGTTGGACCAGGTTTCTGGCGACAAGTCGGCGCAGCGCATCGCAGATGATGATGCCACTGAGGGACCCGGCCATTGCTTGTTTGTAGAGCCACCACCCGCCCGAGTCCAACCGCGCCAGCAATGGTTGCTGGCGCTTAAGTATCTTCACATCCGAGCGGCTCCATGAAGATGTCGGTGAAGGTATGAAATCCTCTTCCGAACAACCTCTGTCCAAAATAAACCCGGCTGAAAGAAATCGTCCCATACTGCCATACCAAAACACAAAAATGATCCTATCTTAGACAATCTGGACTCACCTTCTTAAAACACAAAAATGCTGGGAAACGAGGCTGTTCTCCAAATTTGACATACATACGTGCATTCCAAGCATATGGTCACATTGCTTCTCTGTTTGAAACATTTTTTCCCAAGAAACCATATGCCTGAAACCCATAAACACCAAGGAACACCTGCAAATTTTCGCTAAAATCGTGCATTTGTGTTAAAGGGAAAACGATGAACAATGTAACGTGCATGTTACCCATTATTTGCGCACACCACCAAGTTCTTGGTAGCACCCCGCTCTAAAAACACAACGGTTTGCGCAGTTTTTCAAAGGTATCCATCCAACCCGCACGTACGCCACCGGTTGTTTCGTCCAACCATGAACATTGTCGCATGCCCTCATTCGAAACAATGGTAAAT